ATCAGGCTCTTCCTATTCAAAGGCAAAGTAATCTCTACTACTTTCCTCTAATGGGCATGCCCAGAAGGCATTTTTTAGATCTATTACGCTATACCAAATGTAGTCAGGGGACAACTGGTTAAGAGATTGTAAGGGTTTGCTACTACAGGAAATTTGGTAACAGTTCGCTGATTTATAGCCCTCAAATCCTGTACCAGTCTGTAATTCCCGTCTCTCTTTTTGACAGGCAGAATAGGAGTATTATGTGGGGACATACATGGTTCCAAAGCCCCCTGTTGTAAAAGGTTTTCTATGAGAGGCTTAAGGCCCTGTCTCCCTTCCAGTGATATTGGATATTGACGAACTCAGATACGCAAATCGGGATTAGTGATTTTCACTTTGATAGGTTTCATTTTTAACTTTCCTATTTCTCCAGGGGTGTACCACACCTCAGGACATATTTGCTCCTCGTCCTTTTGGGTTAAAGCAAAAATTTTAAGCTGCCCTTGGGATACTTCAATTTTCAAATCCAATGCTATTATTAAATCTCTCCTCAATAAATTATTTTCTGCCTCTGGCACTAACAGCAGATCTTTTAATTCAATTTTGTTTTGGGTCTCAATTTGCACATTTTTAATAATAGGGACCCGAAATGGTTCACCTTTTGCTCCAACCACGAGTGCTGTTTCTCTACTAGATTTACACCCTTTTGGTAGGTGTTTAATTGTGGATTTTTTGGCTCCTGTATCTACTAAAAATTCCACCTCCTCCCCCTGGGGACCAATCTTTAATTTTATCAAGGGCTCTTTGGATGGTATGGTCCCTAATACATACAGCCCCTGACACCCTTATTCATCTTCTTGGAACATTTTTTCATCCTGTATCCGTTCTTTACAATTTTTCTTTATATGAACTTTCTTGTTACAATAAAAGCAGGTTCGCCTTGGTGAATTATTTCCTGCTTCATTTCTTTGTTTTGGTGGGGGTTTTCGTGATTTCCCTCCCCCTTTCTGCTGGGTTTCTTTCTGTGTTTCACGAACTGCAGCTATAAAGATTTTTGCTTTCTGCTTCTCTTCATCCTTCCTTACATAAACTTTTTGTGCTTCTCTTGGCAATTCTTGTAACCCCTCATCTTGCCAATCATCTAACTTCTAAAATTTCTTTCTAATATCTCCCCATGATCGAGAAACAAATTGGGTTTTGAGGAGTGCCTGACCCACTTGTGTGTCAGGGTCTATCCTGGAGTACATTTGGAGATCTTTCCTCAGCCGCTCCAACCAGTCAGTTGGGGATTCGTCCTTTTTTTGTTGCTCACGAAAGACTTTATTAATATTTTGTCCTTTAGGAACTGATTCTCGGATACCTTTGACAAGTATCCATCTTAAGTCCATCATATTCTGGCGATGGACATCATTCTGATTATCCCAGTTAGGATTATTTAATGGCCATTTCTGGTCTCCCCTAGGTCCAATCTGATGCTCCTGGTCCCATACCCTCATTCTAGCTTGTCTGATCATTTCCCGTTCTTCTGTGGTGAATAGGATACTTAATATAGATTGTAATTCCATCCAAGTATACATACTTGGTCGGAGGAATTGATCTAGTCTTTCCGATACCCCTATAGGATCTTCTAATAGTTTTCCCATTTCTTTTTTAAAGTTTCTTACTTCCCCTGTGTTCAAGGGAACATTTACAAATCCAGTTAAGCCAGCCTGTTGTCCTGCTAATGGGACTTCCCTCAGGGGGTAAAGGCGAGCCTCGTGTCGTTATCTCCCTCCTCTCTGGTGATACTATCTCTCCTGGTATTTCTTTGACTGGAGCGAGTTCTTAGAGCTATAGGAGTACCAGGAGGAGAAGTGAGTGCGTGGGGGGTGTCTCCTGTATTTTCTGTATTACACGGAGGTGGGAGATTATCGAGGGGTTCCCAGGTAACCTTTTTTTAATCTTCATCCTCTTTTTCTTTTAAAGTATATATCAAGGATGGCTTGGACTGTTTTGCCCACAGGGCAGCATACTCACATTCTTCTCTGTTAAATGGTGCTTTACGAGCCACATATGTGTTTAATGCCCGACAAATCTAACCCTCAAATGATCCGAACATGGGCCAGTATAGGTTATCTTTACGGAGCATTTCTCTGGTCCATTTTACCATGCAATAGTGAATCAATTTTTCTTTACTTTTTCCTCTGTATACCGCCCCTGTGTCCCAACATCTTAATATTACTCCCAAAGGGCTGCCTGGTGGTATTTCTGGCAACCTACTTGTCTTGTCTTTATTTTCCCAGTCTCCTTGTGGACCAAATGAACTTGAACCTCTTCGTGGGTCCCTGGAACTCAGAATCTTGCTTCCTCTTTGTCCCATTTTTACCTCAAGGGACTGTCTTGAGGTGTTTGTACTCCCCGATGTGTTCCGCCCGAACCCCTGCCTCTCCTTGGGTCAGGATGGACTGGAACCTGCTTCTACCTGGGCTGGGATGGGAAAAGCAGCTTTTCCCTTCTCCCTCCGTGACTGGTGCGTTGCAATCTGCTTTTCTTTTCCTCCCCCTTCCCCTCCCCCCTTGCCGGGTCCTGCCTTTGCCTGGACTAGGGTGGGAAGGACCTAGCCTCTACCTGGGCTAGGATGGGAAGGACCTAGCCTCTGCCTGGACTAGGACAAGAAAAGCAGTCTCTCCTTTTGTGCTCACTCGCTTCGTCCGGTCACTGGCCAGGTCCCTCGTGGGATGCTGGAAACGCGGATAGAAGGACTCCGCTCTCGCTTCGCAGGAAAGGCCACGTCTCATTCAGGCAAGCACACAGTCATCCCCACCAAACCAGACAGATACTCACAGTCCAATGCTCCTGTCTGGGTCTTCGTGCACGAGAATTACAGGTGATTTTGCCGCGGTCTTCCGGGGAGATTTTCCTTGCTCAGTCTATATGGTGCGGTACGTCGATGGGTTCCGAGAATCACTGATGAACCGGGGCCACAGCAGTGGGGCACCTCCCCGAAATCGCAGTGCCTCTCAGGCTCCAAGGACGTCCCGGGTTTCGGCACCAAATTGTTATAAATGAGAGACAAAAGTCTCGATATTCAGCAAAATTTAGATTGCTTTATTTGATACAGAAAAGCAAGCAGCACGCTGGGGAACGTGAGGGGTCACCGCCCACTCCATGCTCCACCGAACCTTGGTTTGCAGCCTCTTCTTATACTGTGGGTTCTCGTACACAAATTCACAAAGCCTTTGGGTGATAATCAGTCACAGATAGCTATCTGGTCCTTGTAGATGACCACCAGGGAAGTTCTGGGAGTCTGGTTTTGGGATAGGCAGTATTGATTAGACAAAGGCAGGAAGGGCTTTTTGGGAAGTCCGATTTTGCAAGCTGGTAGCCGATACAACTTATTTGAAAAACATATTATAATGTAACATAATACAACATAATATAGCATAACAAAGTGATTTTAAACAGAATTATTTAATCATATAATTTCCTTTATCTAGTGTCCATGCTTCACTTCAGAGCTTAGTATTCTGGTTTATACAAACCCCAATGCTTTTGTGATTAACACGAATCTTTTATCAATTATCACATTATGATTAGATTACATTATGCACAAACTATAAAGCTATCAGTATTTTTCATTATACAGATCATTTACTGGAACAGCAGCATTACTAGACAGACAAAAACTATATAGCAAGTGTCAGGAAAATTAATCCACAAACACCAGAGGTTTATGTCCAAAAAGGAGACAGAGGAGTCCTTTTTGCTTTATTCGAATAAAGGGAGAGGCCATGGGACATTCCCCTGGGATCTCTCAAATTTTTGGAGGACGCAGCCTCCTTTTTATCCTATTTTCCCGGCCGCATTTCCCTCTCTCTTTCCCCATTGGCTTAGGTACTTGAGAGGCACAGACTTCCCGGAACGCCTGATACCTGAAATTCCCCTTTAATGTATAACCCTCCCTTTTAATTTTTAATTCTTATAGAATTCATAGTTTCCCCCCGTTGCTTCTTTCATCTTTCGATATCCAATTTCATTTATCAGCAGCCCTACAGTTTGTTTGTAAAGGCAAATATCTCTTTCCATTCATCAATTAGTGGAATCCATCCCATTGTTTCTTTTATCTCTCAGTGCTAGCCTTATCTATAGGCTGATCCACAACTCATTTGTAAAGACAAATTCAACATTCCTCTCACAAGGGATAAATCAGCCGGGAACTTTGGTTTAAAACATACTAGTAACAAGTGAGCGGGAGCAGGAATGTGAAAAATGCCACGATTTCGTTAGGTTTTAAGAAGTTGAAACTGAAATTACACGGGGTGGAAAAACATTTTTCCCGGGCATCCCTTGAGCTTGAGGAGGCGAGGGTCCCACAGCTCTGGCTCAGTGGTCGGGGCGGGGGTAGAGGCAGCTGTCTGGGGAGCCGAGAAGGCAAAACCACCGCCGGCCCGATTACGCAGCAAAAAAAGCACCACGGAACCCTCCCCGGAACCGCTCCTTTGGGAACACAGCGCCAGGGAAAACACCCGGAGTGACCAGTTTTATCGAACACCCGACTCCCACTTCCCCAGATATTTCCCTGTCTCACAGCCGACCGCCTCGCGGAATAGCCGCTGCCACGGTCCCAAGGCACGGGGCCCTGCACGGGCCCCACCAGGCGGGGAGGGCGCAGTGGCTGCACCTCCTGGGCGGTGCAGGGCCCGCTCCGCCTCCCCGCAGCGGCAGGAAGCCGGAAGCGGCAGGGGCGCTGGGCAGGCCGGCGAGAGGCGGCTGGGCTGGTGCGCGGGGTGCCGGGCCGGGTAGGGCGGGTTCAGGGGTAGCCGCGGAGGGGCGAGCCGAGGCGGGCTGCGCCGGCCGCGCGTCCTCGCCGTCACCGCGCTGTTGCCGAGGGGAAGCGGCTGCCGCCGGGCGCGTTCGTTTCGGTTTCCCGGGGCGGTGGCGGCGGGGCCTTCGCGGGAAGTGCCGGGTCGCGGGCGGCGGCGCGCCCGAGGTAGCGGCGGGCCCGGCCGTGCAGTCTGGAAAGGACGAGGCGCGGCCGGCCCGTAGCTTCTACGGCGTGCCCGGGGCCCGGCCTTTGCGTCGATCTCGGTGATTTCTAGCCCCGTGAATTCTGTCCTCAGGAAGCGACGTCGCCTTCGTGGCTGTAGGAGTTGTTAAAGTTTTATCTCGGGAATCTCGTCCTGCTGTGGGGACGAGCCCCCGTGCTGTGCCTCCTCCCTCCCATCCGAGAGAAGGACGTGGCCCTCCGTTGGTGTCCAGGGGCTGCAGTTCCAGACAGGCCGAGTCCTCTACTTGCACTACGGAGTGGGCGTGCCTAGAGTAGGAGTTTTGAGCAGCACTGGAACCGGGCTTCGCATTTGTATTGTGTGCCTTTGGAAGATTGTTAGGATTCAATTAGCACCTTGTGTGGCCAAGGGCAGGATATGTCCATGATTCAGATGCCAGCTGTTGGACTGGAAATTCCAGTAAGGAGGTTATAGCTGAAGAAAGCAGGGGAAAGGAAGCAGGAGCTTTAGGGGGAGAAGCTTATTTTCTAAGTCTTGAGAGAGGACTTACAGGGAAGTATAAAACGTTAATAATTACCAGACTGTAAATAACATTTATTTCGAACCTCAGCACTTTTCCTGTTTGCTTCGGTAGCATATAGGATATCACCTGTAAACAGAAAGAGCCATCACTTTAACTTCATCGTCTGTCCCTGCTTGCCTAGTGAAGTTGTATATTGCAGCTGTCAACAGGGGAGCCATACCTGCTCGTGTGCTTATCCGGTGTGCCTGAGGTAGCAGAAAATTCCTTCCTATTAATTAGAAGCAGTCAGTACTCCTGGTTCAAAGCATTGGGAATTAAAAAAATTGTACATTAGCAATGCAGTCTTTTTTATTTTGATCTCATTTGCCGGTAAATGAAAAGAGTAGTAGCATGACCAAAAGCAGAAAAATCTTCAATAAAAGTCACCTAAAAAGCAGCCCCTAAGCTCCTGAAATGCTTATGAGTCATGGGGGACAATGAATCAAACTGCTAGCTGGAGAGATTTCTTTAGAGGTATGTGAGGAGCTTTTGACTCATCTAATACAAGACTTAATGACCATAGGTGAGAAGTGAAGAAATAGAAAGTTCAGTATGAAGTCTAGTGACAGGATCAGTCATACAGTTAGAGCTTTTTGTTTGTTTTTGGTTTTTTGTTTGGTTTGGGTTTTTTTTGTTTTAATAGGAAACCATTGGTAACTTGATTTAGGAATATAGTGGAAGAAATGAAAACTTGAGATGCTGAGTATGTAGCAAAGATCAGTTATGACTTTGTCAGAGAACACAAAGTATTAAGTCGAAGGAGGCCTAACATGTTATTCAATCTAATTACTATAATTTGAAGATTAAAGCTGAATGAGACTTCATATCTTAAAAGTGAAGACTGCCAAAAAGAGTGTACTCTTTTAACAAAAAATGGGTAATAGCGCAATACTAACTTTCTTTTGCCAGTTGATATTTACCCTGGGATTAATATTGCAATATTTATATCTGTGTTTCATTTTAAGAGTAAAAAAACCCTAGACACTGAAAATCCATTAAATGACTTTCTGGTCTGGGGTTTTTCTTAATAACCACTGAATGATACTGCAGATCATCTGTTGCAGTCATGTCCTTTTGTTTTTTCATCCATTGACTTTTGCGCATATTTAATTATTAAGTAAGAAGGTAAAGAAAAAGAGCTGATCTTGTACATAAGCTGCCTCATCTTTATTATTTTGGGAAATGTAGTAATTCAGTCTCTTAATGGGCTGCTAATTTTTGTTTTTATTTGAAATAGACTCCAGTGAAGAATTTCTGTGCAGTTTCTCTCTGATTAGAAAGGATTCGTTATGTTTCTGTGTCTTGGTATGAATGTTGTTTAGAAATAAATCACAAAATACATGCTTACTGGTAATGTTCCAGCTGGCCTGTTACAAGCAGGGGTTTAATTATGAGAGGAATGTTTTAACTTGAAGATGTTACAGGTGGTTTACAGGGCATGCTGTGCATTATTTCTTTGCATCCTCTCTTCTGTACCTTCTGTGTCTGCATAATAGATATCTCTTTGGTATCTGGAGTAATTGCCCAATGGGAGAAGTCATCTTATTCTACTGTTGCGAATTGTCTTGTCAGAGTTAACCAAGAATTTTAAGGGTCGAGGATGCGGTGTTAGAGGGTTTTTTTGTTGTCTAGATTTGACATAAAACCATTTGTCCCTTCCAGAGGCACTAAGAACTTTGTCTAGATTTTGCAAATGGCATTGCTGCGTGGCTCTGAATTAACTGTAGAATATTGTCAGGTCTTTGCATTGTGTCTTTGCATTCTGTATGCTACATGTTATTGCTTGGATGCTTTGGGACAGCTTTGCAAGAAGCTTCACATCTCACATGAGATAACAGCTAAAGGAAAGTATGCAATCTGCAGTTACTACAGGTAGAGAAGGTGCTCAGAGTAATGAGAACGTGTGTGTGTGTCAAGCATAGCACGGTAGGATCAGGAGCAGTGCATGAACATGTGCTCCAGCTGGCTGCCGGGGCAGGCTGGGACAGTGGTGGCTGCTGTGTGGCTTTCAGTCACCTTCTGGTAGCATACAGGAAATTTTGTCACACCTCTTCTTCAATAGTTACAGGAAAGGCTTCTTTCTTTGAGTATCAGTCAGCAGTTTCCTGTCAAGTATGATGTGCAACTAACATGCAGTGTCCCCTGCCAAGCTAAGCAAAGACCTCTACTGTAGGAGCTTCCTTGGTCCAGTTGCATTTTGCTCTTGAGATTCTTTAGATTTGGGAAGGTCCATCTTTGATTTTAGAACGTTTTGCTGGGTTTAATGGCAAAAATCAATGTGTTAATTCAACCAAAAAGTTAAGGGTATTCACCTGCAGCTCCTGCTGTTTTGGAAGTCAGGAAAATCTGGCACTTCTAATGTTTTATTTTATGTTAATAATTTTAATTTAATAAAACTCTTTTTTCTTCTTTCTTTTGAATCTGAGAAAACCTGAGTATTTGAGCATTCATATTTCAGGAAGGGTGAGGAAGCCAGGCTTTCTGTGTAGATGTGATACATCTACATCATACCCAATATGAAATTTTAGAAATTAGAGAAACGTCCCTTAATTTCTTTCAGTAGTAATTGCTGGTTCTAGCAAGCAGATGAAAATGCTTGCATTGATTGTGACTTTTTTTGAGCTCATGTAAAAGTAGTTTTTTGTGTGTTGTTAGTCCAGCTCCTTTTTGGTTCTACTGAAATGTAACTTCCAGAGCCAAAGTGATCTAAAATATCTGCATACATATCTGCCATCATCTCTAATGTTTGTTCTTTGGCATATGTAGAGAATAATGGACTTCAATTACAGGTCTTGCTTACCTTCAGAAAACCTTGTGCACACGTTTTTGACTTTTTTCTATGTATTTTGTTACTTGATCATTTCAACACCGTGTACAACAGTAAAAAGATAATAAGAATTTTCACCTTTCCAGTTGATTTTTCAAACAAAATTTGTTGGGAATACAGACCTTAAATGCAGAGAGGTGTTGCATCAATGGCGTTAGCTTTGATTGTTTGGCTTATTTTTGTTTCCATGTTTCACTTCTTACTCCTCTACTTGGTTGTTCTTAATTCTCCATGTCTTTGGAGTTACAGTTGGGGTTTGGGCATTTTTGTTTCCTTCCAATTTAAATAAGTCACTTTCATGTATTTTAGTAAATTATAATTCATTGTATTGAACCTTCTGTTTTTAAGGTGAAAAAAAAAACTGTCTGATCAAAGAGCAAAGATGCAGAGCACTTCAAATTACCTCTGGCTGTTGTCGGACATTCTAGGACAGGGAGCGACTGCAAATGTTTTCCGGGGACGACAGAAGGTTTGTGAGGAATTTTCATACACAAGTAGCTTCATGAAATCAACAAAAAAAGTTCAAGATTTAGGCCTAAAGCAAATATGTCTGTGTAATTATTCATGCTTAGTTTTTAATTTTTAATATTTGTCCATTGAATTAGAGTTCTGTAGTTAGATTTCTAAGGATTTGTTCTTAATGTTGTATTATTTTTTCCTTGTAAAATATTAACTGTTAGTAATTCTTCATTACTTTTTCTTCAGTTTTACGGAAAAAAATAAACCTTATTCAAGAATTGAATGGAAACAAATGACATGCCAGTTTCTATTATGTGATCTTATTATTTATATCTTTGTTAAACTGTCTTTTCATTGGTTTTTATCTTTTAAAACCTGTTTCGGTAATTTTTATTAGTTTTGTATGTGAAATATTCTTATTGTAGTGGATGAAGCTGTTATTAGTTGTTGTCTGTAAGTCAATGCTTTTTAAATGTCTGCTTGGTGACATGTCTTAAGTAATCAGTGCAAAATAGTAATTTGTTTGCTTTTTATATTTTTTATATTTTTATATAGATAAAAAAATACATGATTTTACATATCATGAAAATGTTACACTGATGTTTATGTTGCAGCCTGAGTGAGGGGCTAAGATGACATTACATGTGCAGGTCATTCTAGTCCTGTGAATTTTACAGTATGTCCCACAAAGCGAAGATAAGTGTAGTTGTGAAAGTTCCTTTACAGTAATGATAGTCTGTATGCAATCAGTACAAAGTGATTTATAAGATACAGTATTTCTGTGTTCCACATTTAAGTGTGAGACAGCATTAAGCAATAATTTAGCAGTTAATGTGCTTTTCTGGGTAAGTGAATTTCAACACAGAGTGATTTCCCTATACACCATGGTTCCACCTGTCATCACCATCACTAGTCTGAGCCTGTGACCTGCAGCTCATTGTCAACGGGAGAAAGCTTTTACCTGGGCACCAGTAGTGTGCTGCAAATCCCACTTTGTCTAAGCACAGGAAGACTGTGTCCTTAGAAATAATCTGTTGCACAAACTGCTAGTGCAATCTTATTCCTAGAGTGGGCACAGGAGGCTGATTTGCCCTGAGAGGGACAGGAGTTGCACTTCCATCTAGTGGTGTTGTTGCCTGAACATGTTGAGGCTTAGTCCCAGTGGAGAACTCAGTCTGATTAAGCTCATGATTGTGCTCCTGACACTTATTATGTGGGTTTGAACTGCTTCAGGATTTTATGTGAGTGGCACATAGTGTTCGGAACTGTCTTTTAAAAAACACAATACTGGTTTATCAGTATAAACAACAAAAGACAGAGCAACATTCAGCTACTGGAAATTGTCTTTTAACGTAAGCAAGCCAAGTAGGTGCGTGCCTCTCATTGATTAATGCAAGTAACTCTTGCTGAAAAAATATTTTTCGGCTAAGTTTATGAATAATTCTTACATGTGTAGCCTTTCTTATTGTGCTAGTTACACCTGGGGGAGGGCAGAGCCGGAGAGGTTTTTCTCTATGAGAGCTTCCTCTGTGAGTTGATGGGACCAGTTGGAGGCTGGTTTGGTTATTGACAGCCTGAGAAACGAATTGGAGAAAGTTAGTTCGCTCCTTGAGAGCACATTTTGAAGGAGATAACCCAGAAAAAAAGCTCTCATTCTCTTCCAGCAGTAGTGCAGGGCCTGGGCCTGGCAGGGGGGCTGGCCCGGGCCCCCCTGTCTAGGGAGCTGGCATGGCCCGGCAGGGAGGAGGGGTGGCTATCAACAGTGGGTGCTGTAGCTGAGACCCAGAGAGGCTGACTGAGGTCCCAGCCATTCCCCCTCCTCCCCCTTTCCAGCACGTGCACTGCCGTTTCTAGCTTGGGCCAGCCCTTTCCAGCATGGCCAGAGTGTTCTGAGATCCTGGCACAGCTCCAGCATGGCTTGGCTGCATTTTCCCGTGTGAGATTTTAACTCTTTTAATGCTCAGATAAGACTTGCAGACTTTCAATTCTCCCCTAAGTTAGAGGAAAAACAAAAAGAAGAGCTAAGTTTCTTTAGATGGAAGGAGAATGAGAAGATGTTATGAAGGCTGGATGAAAATCCTTTTGTAAAGTTGTAGGGATGAACTGATACTGCACTGAATATTACTATAAACCATGGCGAAAGACATCGTGGGGTTGGTGTGTTCATTTGATAGATTTTTGACCAAAAGCATCTGTGCTAAAGATCCTTCACCCCAAGGAGAAAAGGGGATCTCTATTTCTGGAGATGAAGCATGAACAGAGAGAAAGAGAGATGAAGAGAATTTCTGGTTTTGGAGCAGTTCATTCTTAAAAGTGAATATCCCATGAGTTTAACATGGCCCATAAGCACAGTTTTGGGAAAGCTGTGAAGATGGGAGGAGCTTCACGACTTGCAAGTTTCTTCCCGGGCGAATGCAAATTGTGAAAATGAAGCCATGAGAGAACTGATTTTTTCCCTTCTTGTAGAGGAGTCTCTATGGCCTGACAAGAGGAAACTTCTCACTCGGAAGTGAACTGAAAAGGACTATTTAAGTTGGAAATTGACTGAAGTAGTTTTTGTATGTTTGTTTTGTAGCTAAGAAGGTTGGGAGAGGGAGGAGGGAGTGGTCTGAACATCTTATTTTGAATTTACTGTTTCTTTTTTCTTTGTGTAGTTAATAAATTTCTTTTTATACCATTTTAAGCTTTAGGCCTGCCTTGCTTTTGCTCCTGGTTCTGTCTCACAACAGAAAATGAGTATATTTAAATTGGCAAATCAAAACTATGACATTATTGGTGCATTGGCCAGGAAATCAAATTAAACCAAGACACTTATACTAACTTATTTTTTTCAAAAAACACTTAGGTTTTGTGGCCTAATTCGTTTTCCATTCTGCTAGTCTGTTTGCTTGTAGTCTATATACAGTTTAATTTTTTTAGCAGAATCTTTATTTCCACATTAGCACAAAGTAATATTTTGAAATATTTCTAGTCTGGTTATACTCACATGTACAGTAGAACATCTCAAAATGCTTGGATAATGTCTATGTGTACATTTACAATCTTTTGCATCTGTTTGATGAATAGTTTGTTTGTTTTCAACAGAAAACTGGGGATTTATATGCTGTCAAAGTATTTAACAGTATAAGTTTCCTTCGTCCTGTGGATGTTCAGATGCGAGAGTTTGAAGTATTGAAGAAACTAAATCATAAGAACATCGTCAAATTGTTTGCCATTGAGGAAGAGGTAATGAATTGTTGTGATCTGAGATGCATGGACGTAACTGCAGTAACTGTTTTTTTATTTTATCCATAGCTATAGAGTGGATAGGTATATTTTTAAGAATGGTAATGTGTATGATGATACAAATACTCCCACCTAACCACCATCATATTTTGGTTTTCTTTCTTCTTTGTTGTTGCTGTTGAATGAATATGTTTGCTTTCAGTGGGTGAAGCACCTTCAGTGTGTAGGCTCAGGTTATGAATCTTCATCTTGAGGAGACACTGTCCTAAGTTTTATCTTGATTTAGGATTTTTAAGGTATCTATATGTTTTAATATGTAATGGTTGAATAATTGAACTGTTTATAATTGAAGGTGTTTCAGTAATCCTGACAATTTTATGCTTTTCCTTTGCGACCAACTAAAATGATGACATGGCATACTATTGTACAGTAGTACAACAGTATAAATTGGAGCAGCTGAACTGAAACTGAGACTGCTCAGTGGAAATGGCCAAGATGATGAGATGAGTAAAGAAGGACAGTTGGTATTCCCAGCACTTATGATGTGTCATTTCTCTCTTGTCCACCTGTCAGTACTACTGTCAACCTGCTAGCCTAGAATTTGAGGCTTTCTTAGTTATTTTCCCCTCTTCAAGTTGGAATACATTAAACAGTATAAAAATCCACCTGTACTTCTTTTGAAGATTACCAGAATGGAATTTATGATTTAGCTATAGATTTTACTTTTCTTTTTTGAAAGTAAGATCTTGTGGGTATAAGTAATTTCTGACATTGTTGTCACAATAGTCAGATTCTTAATCTCTTTTCAATTTTTTTTTCAGACAACTACTAGACACAAAGTACTAGTCATGGAATTTTGTCCATGTGGGAGTTTGTACACAGTTTTAGAGGAGCCATCAAATGCCTTTGGTTTGCCAGAGTCTGAATTCTTAATTGTTTTGAGAGATGTGGGTATGTAAACTCTTTGGTCTAATTTGTTAACTGAAACAAACTCATACTTTTTATTTGTCTTGAAACAGCAAGAGACAAATTTAAATGACTGTCAACTAATTGAACATATTAATATGGTCATATGGAATCACATATTTATGTCTATGTTGGTATAAGTAGCTGCATTAAAGAGCCATTTCTATATAAAGTATTGATGTAGGTTTTTTTCTTTATTACAAGATTATTTTTCACATATTAAACAGACTTCTAGTGATAATTTCAGAAGAGTTAATGAGAAAAAAAAATGGTTTACCTGTGTTTACCTGCTATAAAGTTTGCCTCCTAATTTACCTGCTATTAAAATTACTTTATGGGAGAGATGTTACTGAGAGCAAGAAATGCTATAATTTAGCTGTTTGGAAAGGAAAAAAAATGCAATCTGTGATCATGGTCTTTCTGTTAATCAAGGATCCTTTCTCATTACCATTTCTCAATGAGAACATAAACATATCTTCCTAGCATCAGCTACAATTCAGTGTTTGCACAGTCTGTGTCACAATGTGTACATTAATTCTGTATTTGTTTTTTCAATTGCAGTGGCTGGGATGAATCATCTCCGTGAGAATGGAATAGTGCACCGTGACATCAAGCCAGGCAATATAATGCGTGTTATAGGTGAAGATGGGCAGTCTGTTTACAAACTTACAGACTTTGGTGCAGCAAGAGAACTTGAAGATGATGAACAATTTGTTTCTCTCTATGGCACAGAAGAATATTTAGTAAGCCCATATGATTTAATTTTCTTTTCAAGAAATGTTTGAAGCCTGGGGCCCTTCCTGATTATAGTTAAATAGGTAAAGGTCAGGTTGTTGGGAATTAGTATTTAAACCTTTGTATTACAATTGTTTTTATAACTTTCCACTGGACTTGATTTCACCTTGGGTCATACCATCTTCTGCTGATGCAAATGCATCAGCCTTGAAATAATTTCCAGGTCCAGCTTCAACTGTTGCTTTGTGTGAAAGGGGGAACAACGATATTTTAGTTACGAATATATTTGTCTTTATCTCTGTAGATGTGTTTTAGTTTGTGCTTTAGCTACTTGGATGACATTAGGTGTAGTTAGGATTCACATGAAACTTTGGCTAACCAAAGAAAGGAAGGTAGAGAAGCATCAAGACAAGCACCTTAATATGATTTGCTTCCTGCCATGTTTTCCCGCATGTGCATCATAACTGATACTCTCCTCTGCTCTGGATCTTTTTTCCATTTGGTTTCTATTGTTCCAAAATTATCTGGAGGAATACTGAATTTCTTCTCTTTTTTAGCGGTCTTTTATAGTAGTAGTCACTCTTCAGCTGAATTTTAAAATATTTTTTGCAAACTTTTTCATAAAAGCAACTAGGAATATAGTGATGTTTGTCAGAATAGCTTAGGCAACTTCTATGATGCAAGTGAGCTTTTCTTTTTTAAAGAACTGAAAGTTTAGACTGACAAATTATCTTGCTGTGAAAGGATAGATTGGGTTTTTTTCTTTATAAAGCTTCATAAAGCAATTCTAATCTTTTTTTTTCTCTTTAGCATCCTGATATGTATGAGCGAGCAGTTTTGAGAAAAGAGCATCAGAAAAAGTACGGAGCAACAGTTGATCTGTGGAGCATAGGGGTGACCTTCTACCATGCTGCAACAGGGAGTTTGCCTTTCCGACCATTTGAAGGACCTCGTAGAAACAAGGAAGTGATGTAGGTAATTTAGAAGAAGAATTTTATCTGTTGGTAAATTAAATCAACCCTTGAAATGCTTTTTACCAAGGAATCCTGCACACATATAGTAAACTTTAAAACAGTGAAAATATTTAAGGAAGAATACTCTTCTGTTGTGGAATAGCCCTAGTAGGCAGCTGAACATCACACAACTCTTCACTCGCTCCTCTATAGTGAGATGGGGAGGAGAATTCTAAGGGGGAAAGTACAAAATCTCATAGGTTGAGTTAAAGACAGTTAACTAAGTAAAAAAAAACCCCACAACAAACAGCAGCCCTTGCCTCTTAAATACAAAGGGAAACAAAACCAAGAAAATCAAGTAATGCAGAAAAATCCCCAGTTGCTCATGAGCAGCCAACTGATGCACAGTCAGTCCCTGACCAAATGCCACCCTGGCAAATTCTTCCCCACCTGCTCCTTCTGTTGCTGAGCAGTATGGTATGGTATGGTGTATGGTATGGTACGGTAAGGGTCAGTCCTCCTGTATCCCCTTCCAACTTCTTGCCTGTCCCCGGGGTACTTGCTGGTGGGGCAGTAGAAAAGTAGAAGAGGCCATGATGCTGTATAAGCGTTGCTCAGCCGTGGCTAAACATGCCTGTATTATTAACGCTGTTTTGGTCACAAATCCAAAATCATGGTACTATCAGCTACTATGAAGGAACTTAACTCTATCCCAGCCAAAATCAGTAGAAACATTCTGCTTCAAGAAGGATTTTACTGTGTGGCATCTTAAGATCTGAATCAAGCATATGAATTGAAAAACATCTGAATTGAGCTCCCCCAAAATACTGATGTTTTTCCACACATCTTTCTTTCAGCATGGCACTAGGCTGGTCTGTTGCAGTGCCATTTATATAATTTGGATACTCAGGCAAAATTATGGTATTTTGAAATGGAGTTTCAGTGCTGCAAATTTGTCCTTTAAATGATGGTCTTATCCAGCAGTCTTGAAATGGGTGCATTACCAGTGAGACTGACATTTGAGTAGTATAGTTGTGGACTGCAGCTGAAGGTAACAGGGATGGCTCCTGAATGAAAAACAAAGATATGTCTATGAAGTCACAATTGTATTTGATTCCTGTTTCATCTTAGTCTGGTTCTATTTTTTGTGTGTTGCATTTTAAGGATAAAGCAAGGTGGTACTTGGGACCTCTAACACATCAATAACATCTCTGTTCTGGTACTCCATGTAAAGCTGACTCCAGTTTTCTTAGTTGAAGAAATTGTCCATCTTGAGATTTTTTTCCCCGTATGAATTCTTGTTGTAGTTGCTTGAAAGATGTTTTGTATGCATCTTGTCCTCCAGAAAGAGAAAGCACAACTGAAATATTCTGTTGCAAAAAGTCTGTTGATCCTCATTCATGTCGTAAAAAATTTGAGAAATATGTGCCTGTGCAATACAAAGTTAAACAATGCCAAATTGTGTCCAGACTTCTGGATGTTCCTTTTCTATGCCCAAGTCACTTTGTAGTGGCTAAATGTTGTCTGTTGCTGTGGAACATGCTAGAAGTTAGCATGTTAATGTCTAAATTGAACTAAATTGGCTTTGATTAATTAACTCTTGTGAAAACCTTTGGTTTCCTTTAGTATGCTGGAAATATCTCCTGAACTTTTCCCCAAGACTGAGGAAGACAAAGTTGCTTCTCCAGCATAGCTTTTTGTTCTTTACTCTTAGCACTGCTCTGTCAGCTTGGAAGTGAAGCTTCCTAATTATTGCACCATCTACAAATTTTGGTCAACCTGTCATTTAAATTTGCATTTTTGCTGCCCCTTTGAGGATTAATTACTAGACCTATGTATGTATAAGAGGTAGTAGTTGAAGTTTCCATTATTTTTGTAATGTATTGCAGGTATAAAATAATCACTGGAAAACCTTCTGGTGCTGTTTCTGGAATACAGAAAGCAGAAAATGGACCTATTGAGTGGAGTCGGGAGATGCCTATTTCTTGTAGCCTTTCAAAGTAAGTTTGAGCTTGCAGATGTTCACAAAATGTTTCAATGGCTTTTCCAGTTATTTTCTGGGATTGTATCTCTGGAGCAGAGATCTGATGCAGCATTTTTTTTTTTAATTCTTCAGTACATCAGTACAGTCTGATATTTGGTTATCAAGTGTTTTTTTTCTTCCCATTTGTCGAAATAGTTTTATGATTGCTAATTTACAAATGAGCACATCTGATGTGGTTTGAGAAGAAATACCATTACTGCATTTTTTTCCACCCTCAGGAATGAACAATCAATTACTTTGATGGCCTTCATTTCTTGCAAGAATGTGACTTCAGACGTGACAAAAATTAGGCAGTAGGAAGGAAATGATAAGCAAAGACAATTCAGAGGCTTACTTTTTGCTTGGACAAAGGTCACATGAGCACATTTTAACATATACTCATATCTTTTGAATTTTATCATCATATTTTTGCTTCATATGTCCATAGTATTCAGTAGGAAGAGCCATGGAAGATCTAATTTTGGTATGACTTAGAAAACACCTCCCATGACCCCTTTACCCATTCTTCTTCCTGAGACTTCTTCTGTGCTTCAGTTACTAATCTTTCATGGTAAAGGAGGAAATAAATTGTTCTATGAGGAGACTGTAGAAGCAAACTTCTCTGAAAGCCAAATATGTACATCCTTAAGGGGTGTAGAGTCAGTCTGATTTATATGAATTCATTAGTTTAGAATGTGTAGAACTTGAAATTTGTATGTTTTTCATGATTAATGCTCATTTATTCCTCTGCTTATTCTCTACAATTGAACTGCTTGAAATGATAAAGGAAGCAGGTTTTTTTCTCATTAAACATCTGTTTGCAGTAATACTTCTAAGTAGCATTCAAACAGTATTTAGTAATAAAGTGAGTTTGAGCACAGCATCCACTCACCTCTAATGGGGTCAGCAGTGTGCTTGCAAACCACTGGAACTTGCTTCACAATGTTACCAATTCTACCACTGGATTCAGGCTTGATGTGTGCATGATGTTAAATTTTGGAGAAGTTGTTCATGGTAATGCACAAGTAGGATCCATAAAGTTCCTTACCGTTCAGATGCTCAAGGTAGAAATGCAAGAAATTCAACCTGATCTTTCTCCTAGAATAGTAACAACCATAAGGCAATAGGTAGTACAGGGTTTTTTGCAGCATTCAAGCTGCATGTGCAGAGTACTTATTTAGCCCCATCTCAATCAGGATGAATTTTTAGCGTTGACAATTTAAATAATGAGTCTTTGCTAACCCAGCTGATTTTGACTGAAAGCAACATAGTGAGCTCGCTCAAGCGTCACCACCAGCAAATCCTAAATGGCAGTAGCTTCCTTCAAAATGATGCACTGTGTTGTGTGGGGTGAGCTGGGTAAAATGCTACTAGGGTGGTAGAAAGTGGCCTCAGCTCTATAATGTAGACTTAATAAATTTTATATAATTTTTGCAGTGTAAGTGAAATTTCTGAAATGCAAAAAACCCATACTTGATAGTTAAGCCTAAAAATGAAAGATTTAAAGTACATGCATTAATGAAAAACAGTGGACATTGCCACTGAACATTTTGTTGCTCATTGTAGGAGAAAAGGCACTGACATATTCTTTAAGGGATAATAGTCAAATGAATTATTGCAGTTGGTTGCAAGGTAAAATGTTCCAAGTAGAGCCAAGTTGTCTCATCTCTTCCTGGTGTCCTCTAGGGGTCTGCAAGTACTGCTCACACCTGTCCTTGCGAATATTCTTGAAGCAGACCAGGAAAAATGCTGGGGATTTGACCAGTTTTTTGCAGAGACGAGTGACATACTGCACCGAATAATAATCCACATCTTTTCATTACAGCAGATGACCTTGCACAAAATTTATATTCACAGCTATAATACGTAAGTGTTCTCTCTCTTTATTTTCATTGCTTCACTCTTGTTCAGTCTAACATCACTGTGACCTCAGATCACCAGTTACAAATTCAGTAGCCTGTGACCTCGTGTCACCAGTGTTACAAATTCAGGAGCCTTTCCTTGGCAGTTTATCTGAGGAAGTGAAAAGGCGCAATTCTCCTGCATAAGTCGTAGTGCATATGGAAATGTGTTGACCAAACATAAAAATAGTCATTGAAGGTCAAATCAACTGATATTAGACTTTTTAGTGACAGAAAACAGACTTAATCCTTGATATGTTAACAATATGTCTGTTTTCACAACATAGGCCAACTCATAGCACATTTGTATATGTTCCTTATTTACAAAGTAGTTTTCTAGAAACTTTATTCATCTCTTGTTCATCTTGTCCTTAAGTATACAAAATGCACACATTTTCTCTGATGTAAAACACTCACAGGGATTCTGAAGTGGAAATCAGTACAGATTTATATGGGGTTCACTTTATGACCATGAAGTGCTGATGTTAAAAAGCGTAAGATGTAGAAATGTAAATGCCTTTTCTCTGCTGTATTACAGATAATACAGAGCATATGTTAATTTCTAATGCATGGATACATACTGTTATTTCATCAAATGTGTAAATATAGTTCTGTCCCCTTCAATTTTTATTTTCTATTCCATCACTTCTATTTTGAGAGAGCCCAAATACTGTTTTTGCAGGGAAATCTTGCTTCTATTTTTTATTATTATTTACATGTATGATTATTTATAAAGTAGCTGTACTATCAAGAAGCAATAGTGTACTAGTGCCGCACAGGAGGCAAACCAGTCCTTCCTGTTAGTGTACTGAAGGTTTTTCTTCTTTGTAGGAGGTTTTGCTAGTTTGGTTTGGTTGGGGTTTTTGCTTGCCATTGTGGGTGGGGTTTTGTGGTGAGGTTTTTTGGGGGGAAAGGTATGGTATAAGTTCTTATCCTTGTATCTGTTGATTGCTGTAAATAAAATTCCAAAGTGTCTTTGCTCTTCCTTATAAATGCTGTTTTAGGAGATAATCTGGCTGTTAGCTTACAGGCTGAATTTACTTTTTTGACACGTGAAACACCAGACTTTTCTTTTGGACGGACCATCCATCTCCTTTGAAGAAAAGGATATGCCTAAGAAAACTTAAGTATGCTTCCTTCCCCTCATCTGGTGTTGCCTGTTTTTACTGACCTTCAGACCAGAGAAATTTTGTTAGACAGATGTGCTTTGGTGAATAATCAGAGGTAGAAAGGAAGTTTGACATTTTACAGGAAATAGCATTTGTTTTTGTCACACAGCAACCTGGAGTCTTAGGCAGCGTGCTACTTTTTTAACTTAGAAGTCAAGTGCTTTATGTGTAAACCCAGTTCTTAATTAATCAGAAATAAAAGCAATTTTTATTTAAAGAATACAGAATCTGAATTGTTGAACGATTGTAGTGAGTCTAACTGCTACTGATTGTATTGTTTGTTTTATAGAGCTGCTATATTTCATGAGTTGGTCTACAAACAGACAAAAATACCATCTCAGAATCAAGAACTGATCTATGAAGGTCGGCGCTTAATACTAGAGCCTGGCAGATTGGCACAGCACTTCCCCAGAACAACTGAGGAGAATCCTATCTTTGTAGTAAGCAGGGAGGCTGTGAACATTGTTGGATTAATCTATGAAGAAGGTATATGAAAATAATGTTGTTATGTCTTGGAAATAGTGTTGGAAATTTTCTTTTGTTGATATCTGAAGTTCTAAGTATGCAGTCCAGTGGTTTTCAAAACTGCTAAGTATCCAGAACATTTTTACAGAGACAGTAGGCGTTTGTAATGTTCCAAGTCCTTTGAACCTGAATGTTTGTGTGGTAAGATGTAGTGGTGCTTATGGAGTTATGAACCTTTTTAAGCATGACACTTCAAACAAGTAGAAAGAAACATTATAGAAAGTAACTCAAAGCTGGTTCTTTCGTTTCATTATTCACTAAATGGAAAGTCAAGTTTTAGTTTGTTTTTTTTTAATTTGTCGTGAATGTGGTTAGCCTTTCAGTTAATAGAAGAGGTCTTTATCATGTACATTTGTTCACAAGATAAGGTAATATCATAACAGAAGAGAAAAAAATTTTACGGTTTTGAATTTCCATTTATCATTGAGAGGCTTTTAGAAGGGCCTATGCCAGAGCCCTTTTTTTATAAGTGAGCTGGAGGACATGGCTGCAGTTGAGAGGTCAGTGTTGCTTTTGTCAGTATGCCCTAAATACTGACTGCTCTGGCCAGCTGGCACTAACACAGAGGTGCTGAAGAGTGGGGGTAGGTGAGCTGTTTGTGGAAGGATCAACAGGGCGTTTATATTGTGTCACAGAGCTTTCTGAAGGAGCCAGTGAGCGTGAGAACAAAGGAGATTCAGGTGATACGGGCTACCTGAGGTTTAGAAAAGCTGTTCAGTGAAGAGGTACCCTTAAGAACCTCAATGAAAATAAGCAGCCATGTGATAGAAAGGGAGTGGTCTCCTGTGTGGGCAAACATGGGGCTGAAGAACAGAGAAAAGCAGTTGATTCTCTCAATGGAGAGAGATTGCAAGTGGAGTCCTGCATGAATTCTGTGCAGCGCAGCATGTTCAGACGTGAGTCTGGAAAAGGAAGGACAATTTACTGAAGATACCAAGTTATTTAAAACAGTTAAGACAAAGGCTGGTTTTAAAGAATCACATGATATTAAAAGGCATAAAAGCAGTGTACAGACTGGGGAGGGAAAACAGTCTGAACTTTTGAAGTCTCTTCTCGAAAATAATAAAATACTTGTTTTATGTTTCAGTTTTACTTCCTAAAGTACATCAACGCTATGATTTGGATGGGGATGCTAGTATGGCTAAAGTGAGTAGTTACTCTTTCAGATTATATACCTGTCTTGGATAATGATACTGAAAAGAAAGCTACCTAATTTTCAAATTAATAATGTTAATAAAACTATTTTAGTATGCTAATGAGGATTCTGATTGATAGAAATATATTTATTAACAAAGGATCTAATAGCATATTAAAGCCATGCTTTATATACAAAATGTGGTTTGGGTTGTTTTTTTTTAAACCAAACCCAAAGTCCAGCCTTCTAAATTCGAAGTGCTCTGTTACTGTATAGTTAAGTGCTGGTGGGGAAAAGAGCCTGACACTCTGCAGTCCTGAAGTTAGTTAGAAGCTTCCTAACTTCTAATGGTGCAAAATTTAACATTAAAAAAATAACTCTTGCGTGATAGAGAGGAGTCTCTAGGACTCTGCAGAAGGGTGGAAAATCTGTTGCCTCTTAAAAACTTTCAGAATCTGTGGGAGACAAGTAAAGGATATTGCATTCTTTTGGTTGTTTTTCTAAAACTACTAAATATATGTGCAGTCATGCTTGACTTTGTGACGGCCCCTTATACATGTGAAATACTGACTGCTGAGGAGCCTTTTATTCAGATTTGGTAGTCCTGAAGATGTATACCCCTTTAAATATCAGTAATCTTGAAAATAAATAAACAGAAAAGCGTCAGTTGATACTAATTATTTAAAGTATTCTAATTTATAATATCTGAAACTTTGTTCTCAATTCTAAATAATACAGCAATCTTGTAAGTGGAATTGGGTAAATGAAGAGACTCTTTAGCCTTAGAATTTAAAAAATGGTCAGTTTTTACAAGTTCCTTTTAATATATGTGCTTGATCCCTAAAATTTTGAAGAAATGTACTTGTGACTGACAGAAATAGTAAGTGGTGTCGTTTTTATTTGTGAGATTTGTTTCCATCCCTAACAGGTCCTTCAGCATAACTGGAAAACCCACGTTTAGCTCTGCCTTCATAATGGGTATTTGTTGCCTGACTAAAGCTTAGGCCAAGTTATGTATTTCAAACTACCATCCTCATGTTGCTTTCTTTTCTTAATCTGTGTTGCTTTTTGTGATGTATTGTCTTGAAGCAATTGTTAAAGAGAATGCCAGATCAGTACTTATGCTGGGTGTTTTTCCTCCAGGCAGTGACAGGTATTGTATGTTATGCCTGTAGAGTTGCCAGTTCTTTGCTACTTTACCAGGAGCTGATGCGAAAAGGAATTCGATGGCTAATGTAAGCAGCTGATTCCATTTCCTTACGGTTTTTTTTCCTAAATTGAGATATGCCTTGATTATCAATACATAATTCTGTAATCTCTTGATATCTTGGGAGGTTTTGTTTATCCTTGAGGGTGAATAGGGTTAATTTCTCCCTTTTTCCTGTCATTAAGGAAGCAAAAAACTTTTTTAATAATAAAAGTCAAGGTGTTTGCAAATGTACCTTCTTCTGTGTATAATTTAAGTCTAACCTCTGGTAATATGCAGTTGAACACCTTAGACAAGGTATTTTTATATGAGGATTATGTTAATGCATCTCTAACTGAAAACAATTCCTCCTGCAATTATTGCTGCAGGTATATTACTGTCTTCTGATTGCTGATAGGATGGCAGTTGAATACTTTTTTTATAGACTAATGCTTCACTTTCTTAGTGAAATAATCAAGGATGATTACAATGAAATGGTTCATAAAAAGGCAGAGATTGTCATCAGGCTGGATTTCTGCAGCAGAAACATTGAGAAAGCTGAGAAAATGTGAGTAGAAGCACTACACCATACACATTGATTCTTCATTACCATTTTTAGTGTCAACAGTTATGATTGTTTGAAGTTATGATTATTTGCATTGTTTTTTCATGTAAAAATTAAATTTGAGTCAGCATGGATTTTCTGATGACACTGACTTAAGCAGATTTAGTCATATATGTTACTCAAATTAGAGTGTTAATTTTGCTGCTTAACCTAATAAGAACAAGTAATTGCTAATTAGTGGTAACCGTCTTTTTCTCCTTTCTTTGACTCAGTTCACTTGCTCTCATTGACTCTAGAAGCAGTAGTAAAGCTTGGACAAAGAATTAAGTAGTTTTGCTTTCATTAGTACTTTTGCCACTGCATTTGATTGCATATGACTTCAAACACTGCCCCTTACACAGTTTTAAGACTGTAGCATTTTCTGTGTGGAAGGAATTTTAATGCTGAAATATAACGTAGAGCAGCTGCAAAAAAAAACCCCAAACAATCAATCCTGACCCCCTCACTCCCTTCCCAGAAAGGTGTTATTTTTCTGGCAGTGTGATAGGAACTTTAAATAGCACATCGTCTTAGAATTCTCTTATGGGTGGTCGTTTTCCTGTTCAGCCTACTGCTAGTCTTCCCCAAATGCTGTCTTAGTCATGGGATTCTCTGAACTTCTCACCAGGCTGCTCTGAAAATGCAGATACCCACAAGATGATTAACATGCACGTGTAGAACCACTGAGTTTGCAGAGTAGACTTAAGAATTAGACTTAAGCCTGTTGGAACTGCTGTGCCTGTGCAAATTTAACACCTTGTACACAGTAATTGTGGATACCCAAGGGTTGACAGATTTGCTGTGTGTATGCCAAACCTACCTTAAAACACAGGCGTGTCTGTTTGTATTGGCTTCAAAACCACTGCAAAACTGCAACAGTGAAATAGTGAAGTTGGTAACTTGCAAGGTAACACTATACCTGTACAGTCTAGATAAAATCATCAGGGCAGGAACTCAAACTCCTCTTCAAGCCCATTTGCACTAGTTTGGCAGGACTTTTTCAGTCTGTGTTTGGTTCAGGTAGTTTCTTCCTGCATTCTGCCAGAAGAAAGCCACTCAGAAGAAACCACTGTCAGTTCTGATTTGTGACTCTGGTGCGCTTAAGAGTATCTCAGCAGCAGTTTTTAAAAAAATTGCATTCATTTGCTACCTGGGGCAATTCTCATGAACAGAAATTTTCCATGTTTTCACACGGTCTTTTGGCCTCTTACAAAAGGGCAAGACTTTCAGTTTGTTTGAATTTGCTAACTCCATAAAAGTCTTCTGAAGGACATATCCTCATTGTCTTTCCTTTTCAAGGCTGTGCTTCAAAGCATGACAATGCAAAGTCTTTATTTGAAAAGGTAAATAAAGCATTGAACTTGAGCGAAGCATGTATTTTTTGAAAGCAATTGAGCCGTTTGTGATGGTGTTTTTAAAACTAAAATGTACATGAGACTCAACAGAAAAAATACTGAAAAAATACATAAATACTGAAATACTGTAACATACTGAAAATACTGAAAAATACAGAAAAAATTTATCTGGCACTTGAGCTATGATCATATGGAAAATGTCAGTATGAACAGATGGTCCTACTATCCCAGCCTTTAAACGTTCAACAGAGTAAGTTTTCTCAGAAAAGCATTTTGGTGCACTGAAGTACTAGTTTGTTAATAACTACTTTGAGTACCTTTAGTTTGATAAGATTTTAAAAATTACTTGATGAAAGGAAATAGTCTTCCACTACCTCTCAAGTACAAGTAATAAGACTAGAATAAAGAATTCAGGAATGGAGGTTTCAAACTTTATTTTAGGAAATTCCAGTGTAGGAAAAAATCGAGGCATGTTTTTCTAAAACTAAAATGTTTCCATTGTTAATAGCCATTTAAATTTGTCAGTTTCATGGTTGTTGCTTGACAGAGACTGTATTTCATATACCAGAAGAGGCAGTTACTGTTCACTTTTTTTGTTTGTTTGTTTTCTTTTGTTTTGTTTTTACTGGTTTGTTTTGTTGTTTTTTTTTTTGCTGGTCAGATATGAGAATTTGATGCAGATCAACTTGGAAGCATCAGAAGTAGATGAAATTTCAGAGATACACACAAAACTCTTGCATGTAAGTATCCGACAAAGTTACTCTGTCATTCTGAAAATGGTGCTTCTACAGAAAAAGCCAAATACATGATAACACAGGCTTCTGTGAATAGCAATTCTGAATTTTTTCAATGTAGTTTCCAGATTGCTAATTGTTAAAATATCCACTCTAATGTGACTATCTTTGTGAAAACAGAGCAGATCCTTCTATATTAGCTCAGTGTAGTGAAAATAAGTTCCTGAAAATACATTATATTTTCTAAAATAATCCTGAAATATATTTTGCTTTGCTATTTTTTCTTCTCCATTTTTTTTTCCTTTCCTTGAAGAATTATTGACTACTTTGTTGGCTTTCTAAAATGTTACATTCACAAACACACTTCAGAGTGATCTGCTTTGAAATGTGCATCCTGTTTCCAGACATGCAAGGAAAAATTGAAAATAATACACTGGGAGCAGATATAAGGTTATCCATTCTAAAAGCAAAAGATGATAAGTGCATTTTTATTTTGAAGGTTGTATGAACTGCAGAGAAAGGAAGGTATGAATTATGTGGATAGTTACTGTATGAATTTTTAATAAACCAAAAGAATAAGGGTAGAAGTAAATAAGGGATTTATGAAAGGTTGAAAGTTATTGCCGAAAGAAAATAAATTTTAACTAACAGAAATGCCAACATCAAATATGATTCTTTTTTTAATAATACCTTGCTTTATCTGCTTCTAGCAAAGCCTAATCAGATAACTGACATATTTCTTTAATGGAGATCAATTAAACAAATGGGATTGTAGTATTAATGTGCTCAAGTAATAATCAAGTAATTTTTCACTTTACCTAGTGGTAAGATTGAACCTTCTTGCTCTTATGTAGCTCTCCAGCTCTCAGGGCAGCATAGAAACTAGTCTGCAAGATATCAAAACCAAACTTTCACCTGGTGGTTTGCTGGCTGACACCTGGGCAAATCAGGAAGGCATGCATCCAAAAGACAGAAAGTGAGTAACTGTACTTACTGTTCTAATATGTATTGAATTCTACATTGAGTTGTAATTCATAAAGCTCATTAATAAGTACTTGAGTTTATGTATAAAAAATCTCATTTTCTTCCTTTTGTCACTCTAGTCCAGAAAGGCTGCAGGCACTGCTGTCTTCCATCACAGACATCTACTATCAGTTTAAAAAAGACAAAGCAGAACGAAGTAAGTAATTTATTTGATTCAGTTTTAACATAAAATGTGATGCAGAGGACAGGTCAGTCTCAGTTTGACTAGGGTATTAGGGGTAGGTATGGAGAGTTAGCCACAGTGCATGTGTTTGTAGGTCCTTAGTATGATACCATGCTAAAGCCCATATGAATGAAACACCACTATTAGTAGCATAAATTTGAATTGCAAGACTGGAGTGGAAGAAAAAAGTATATGACCACTTAGACCTGTAAAAAGAAGGAAACTGTAGCAAATGGGTAAACTTAGTAGAGTTTTGCATAAATACAACTAACTGAGTTGGATTGGTAATGTTTGTCATCTGCTCTGATCCTAGGGCTTCCTTATAATGAAGAACAAATACACAAGTTTGACAAGTAAGTTTTGAAGTTACCTTTGGGAACTACTATAATTGCTTTCAGGTCCTCCAGATGCTCTTGCCAATAATCCATTCTACTAATTTTATTGTAAATTGTAATCTCTTTAGGATTGCTTTGTAAAAAATTTCTTTTAAATATCTTTAATACATAGGGGTACTAGTGTATGATAATGAGGTGCTTTCTGGCTGTAGAGTTTTTTCACTGATAGGCCTTCGAAATGCAAAATACCTGTTTGTTATCTGGGCATAACTGTTTTATAGGAAGTTCACTTCTTCCCTGTTTTTCTTTAGGGAGGAAAAAGCCCTGAGTAAGATCAAAATGACTTTGTAACTAAGGTGGAGACAATTTTCTACAGATGAGTAAAATATACTAGCTGAATGAAATTCTAGAATGATTTAATCTTACAGGAAATGTAGCGCACAAAATTAATTTTAATGCTGCTCTCCATGCTTGTTTTAAATTGTCACTCATACAAGGTGTCCACATTAAGCATCTGTGTGTAACTTGGGTCTCTAAACTCCCATAGTCTCTATTGATTCTGTACTGCTGTACATGTCTCAGAATTTATTTAATTCCTCATACTCAGATGGCTAATGCCATTTAAGTTGACCTAAAGTATAAGAGATATGCTCTGAGACTGGGAGGTAGGACACAAGTCAAATGGGAAAACTACACCTTTCTGGATGGGTGGTCAGAAACAGGGCAGGATATCTTTTCTGGAGAAGAGAAGGTTGCATGGAGTCCTCCTAGCAGCCATCCAGTAGCTCAAGAGGCCGCCTATAAGGAAGCCAGAGAGCGATTCTTCATCAGGAACTGCAGTGATAGGACAAGGAGTAATGACTTCAAACTGAAAGAGGGGATATTTAGGTTGGATACATTGAAGAAGTTCTTCTCTGTGAAGGCAATGAGACACATTTTGGGGGAAAACCTCCAGAAGGAGCCCCCAGAAAGCAAACTCCCACAACTCCTCCCACCACCACTGGGTTCAGGAAGAATTTTCTCAGAGAGGAGTGGGAAAAAACCTGTTTATTTAACAAGCGAAACACTCCCCAGCACAAAAAAAACAACACCAGCTGACAAAAAACTCTTTCACCGTTCTGAAGGGATGACAAACTCAGAAAGTCTCTCAGTTATCAGTCTCTGGCGCTGGGGGATGACTGCTGCAGGTGACAGAATGCAGACTCCCAGTGTTTCTTGGTGTTTCCCAGGTCCCCGTCTGGAACAGGTTCAGATGGTATCCAGGAAAGGGAGATGGGGGAAAAAATTGGACTGCCTAGCTGAACTAACTAATAAGCAAGAGCAAGGGCAAAGCAAAAAAAAGGAGCAGAAGCGAGCAAGAAGCGAGCAAAAGCCAGCAAACCAGCCAGCCTCTCCTAAACACAGACCATGGGGGAGGTGAGCCGGCTGATAACAAGACAAAATAAACCTTCACTTTCAGGTCAGTCCTGAAAGCACAGGACATAGTACCAAGCACAAACAGAGCACACGATTGGAGATACAAGCATCATAACGTCACCCTAGGACAAACAGGTTGCCCAGAGAAGTTGCAGCTGCCTCATCCCTGGCAGTGGTCTACAACAGGGGATTTGGAGCTATATGATTTTTATGGTCCCTTCCAACCCAAATCATTATAAGATTCTGTCTCAAATGATGCTAAATGCTTATGTTTAAGTAAATAAATTATTCTCCTTGTGGCTAACCAGTTGCATGGTTCCCTAGACTTTGCTAAATGCTGCATGAATTTGGGCACCACTTACATAATTTTCTAAAAAGTCTTGCTCTTGCTACCATGAGTGTGGCTTCACTGACAATTACAGATAGAAAGCTGTCATGCAGAGGGCACAGCCTTGCCACTTGATTTTCCTGTAGTGAAAGCTAAACTGGGTAACTGCCAATCAGAGGAGAGGGTTTTCTACTACTAAAACTCATGTCCTTGCATTAGTATATGATAAACTTCCAAATAAATATGCTTCATTTTCATGGTTTGAATACTGGTATATTTTCTACCACAAGTATCTCCCTGGGACTATACAGGTTTGAGATCCTAAGTCCATCTTTTTTATACTTGATTCACTCCACAGGAAAATGGCAGTGGCTTTGGTTAAGGACTGTATGCTATTATCAGCAGAGGCTGGCCTTTGTAATATTTACCTCTAGGCAGATAAGGGAGCAGCACTCAATTTGAATTTTATTTTTCTGGTTGAATGATAGGTATGCATTCCTGATGACAGTCTAGCTACACACTAGATACAATTCATTAACCAATATTTATTATGCAAGACTCAATGAAATACCAGCAGTAGGTGTTGGTCTGTAGTGTTCAGTATCCCTTACACTTATATGTGCAATGCATAGCATGGTGAGGCAATTACACTGGGACTACTGTCTGCCACACTAACAAGAATTGGGTGTTTTGTTTTCCTTTCTTTTCCTTTTCAGCTTGTTTCTTTTTCCTCTTGTCATAAAATCAGGCTGACACGAAACTCCTGTTCTTTTTCTTGCATGTGTGTTACTTAGTGCAAAGGATTATTCATATATGCTGGAAGTTCCAGGTATCTGTAGTAGGCAAATATTAAATAATTAGGACTTTTGTCCATTCCATTTAGAATCCTTGAATATACCAGCTTACTCAAAGAAGACATTTGACCATTTATTCATATACATACATGAATACAAATACCAACTAAGTGCTTCACATAATTTTTTACTCCCTGCTAGACAATATTTTTGAGACATAAATTGTCAGTTTCTGTAGAATGTTGAGTTCTTACACATTACAGCAGTATGAACAAAGGTGGCTGCACAGCTTTTAACTCCACAAACCTTTCTCCAGATTTCAGAAAGTTAGAGGAATGGGGTTTTGAAAACAGTATTAACACTGTTTTGGTTGTTTCTGTGTTGCAGGCAGAAGCTGTATTTGCATGCTACAAAAGCCGTAGCTCTTTTCAAAGATGAATGTGTCAGCAAGTATGATACATTTTTGGACAAAGCCGAGGACTGGACAAGGCAAGCTATTGATTTCTTTAATATTTGGTAATGTTCGTTAGACCACTTTTATATAAGCAGTTATCAAAAGAAAATTCTTCTTTTTTTAGGAAAATGCTTCACACAAGGAAGCAATTACTGGCTCTCACTAACCAGTGCTTTGGTATTGAAGAAGAGGTGTCCAAATACCAGGATTATATAAATGAGGTAGAACGCTTCAAAATTATGTGAAGCATTTGCATAGTTAAGACTTCTGTATATTTTCATGTCAATTGTGTTGTTTATAGTGAGTCTTATAGTGAGTCTTAATGCAGTTGCATTAAAATACAGGCCTTTGTGGGTGCAGTATGTGGCCTATAGTAGCTTGTCAGTGTGCACTACAGAATGGTGTTATTTTTAAAATAATTAAATAATATGATTTTGTGAATTGTGACTTGATTTTGGAATTTGGTGGGGATAGTTCGGTTTGCTGTGTTGTTTTTTTTTTTTATGTTTAGGTGCGATTTTTTTGCAGGGCTCATGGATTTGGTTATTTTGGGGTTTGTGGATTTGGGGTTTTTTTATAATGTTACCATTACAAAAACCACTATGCCCCCTCAAAAAAAAATCAGTGCAAATGGATGTGGGTTCATTGAGAAATGTTCTGTGCAACTGTTACCATATTATTTTCAGAGGACCTAGAGGATTATCCTAATTCTCTTAAGAAGTATAAAAATGATACTTCCGTAGTCAAGAAGTCGTCATACTTAAGGATGTTAAACTAATGATGTGGACAGTGACTCTGCAGGGTGCAAACTTATTAGAATTACCTCAAGATTGAGAGAATAAGAGCATTTTCATGTAGTAAAATTATTATTTTTTAGAAAAGAAAGATAAATGAATAGCAAGCCCTGGCGATTTGTAAAATCAATTTAGGAATGGCGAACAGCAGCATTTTACTTGTTATTTATATTTTAGTAGCACCACCAATCCATTAATTAGGATCCTGTTGCCCTAGGATGTCTACAAATATAACAAATAGGTAATTCTTCTTTTGCAGAGTTTATTATGAAAGTATTAGATAAGAAGATGGAACAAACCAGGGAATTATAGGTCATATCAATACAAAACTTGCTCTGATGATCTCACCTTGGAGCATATCAGCCACCTTAGTACCGTAATGAATTTATGAGGTATCACAGCAATGGAGAACTTAGGAAAGGATTTTTATGTGGGCATCAAGATATATATGAGAACTTCTATTGTAACTTAAATTTTCTTTTTATCTGTTACAGTTACAAGATGCTCTGCCGCAGAAAATGTTTGCAGCTTCCAGTGGGATGAAACATACAATGAATGCAGTCTATCCAAGCTCAAACACATTAGTAGAAATGACTCTTGGGTAAGAATTTTGTAATGGGATTGATGTAATATTGTATGCTTGCTATACAGGGAAATTGCAAAAAAAATTAATTGACTTAGTGATTGCTGTATTAAGATCAAGAATTTTGCACTGCTGTAGTGGTGGCACAGGTGTGGAAGTGAGTGGGGGACAGTACTAATGTATCATCTGTCTCTTTGTAAATAAACAACTTACCTGTCCCTTATTTTGTATGTAATGGAAAGTTGCTAAAATCTGTGGTGGTGAGCGATCAGAGCAACTATCCCAATAAAAACTGTAATCATTCTTTTGCTTCTGTTTACTATAGGATGAAGAAACTAAAGGAGGAAATGGAAGGTGTTGTTAAAGAGCTGGCTGAAAATAATCACATTTTGGAAAGGCAAGCAATTGTTTTCCCTTTTGGGGCTGAAACTAGGGACAGGCTTAATTTGGTACATTTTATAGATCCAGAATTTAAACTAAGGGAACAAATCTATAATGTATTTAACTGTAAATGAACTTTGAGCTGTTCAAATTAAGTATAAGAAAAAAAAACTACTCACAACCTTGGAACGTTGCTGTAAAATCATTCTGACACAGCCATATTTGTGGCATATGTTTCATGTTACTATGGTTTAGCTAATAAAAATTCCTGTTGCACATACATATTAATCCTGGATTTAAACACAGTACTGCTGCAACAAGGCAGTGGTGTCTTTTAATTCCTCCCTTTTAGATGTTATTTTTGACAACTGTGGAATTACACCAATCTGAATTAATGATTTTTCAGTTTTCAGATTGCTTAAATGGAGAGGCAAACATGTTTCTTACAATCCTGAGAGGGTATTGTAATTATCACATACAGACTGATTTTGATTTTTTTCCTATGAAGATGAGAAGATAAATAAAAATAAATAACTCCTGAAAATTCCAGGGTAAATTGCTGGTAGAGTGAAGTTTAGCTTCAAGCTGAATTTGTTTTGTTTTTTTGTTTCCCACTCCCAGTCTCATACTTGCAGCAAAGCTTCCTGTCTTCCATCTTCTTTGCAGGTACAAAAGTTAGGTGCAAATGCCTCTGTTGGCATGTGGCAAGGGAAAGGAAAACCCTATAAATAAATTAAATACTGATTCTACAATCTAGTCAACCACCTAAAAATACACTGTTTTTTTTGGTTTAGATTTGGTGCTTTGACTATGGATGGTGGCCTGCGGAATGTGGACTGTATCTAGCTTCCAAAGGACCCGAACTGGACTTGTACATTTTTTCAAAGGGAAAAAAATATTGTTGGGACAGTTAAAAGCAGATAATAAATCTGTATCCAGGATTTTTTTTCCTTCAACAACTATAATATTGAAGAAAATGTAAATATGTATAATATGTAAATACAAAAGAAATATATATCTTTTCTTGGTCACTTTTAGGATAGAATAACTTCTGGCAGGGAATTGAGCCCCTTGGAGGATCTCTGAGGAGTCCTAAAAGGAAAAGTATTGTTGATGAAATTGACATTTATCTACTTTGAATATTGCCCTTTTTTTTCAGAATGCAATTTAGTCTTCATTGCAAGAGGACTTGCAGTACTCCAAAACACCATTGTATAAAGAGTATTTTGGATTTTCTTCAATGACCACTGTTATGTAGGAGCCTAACTGAATGACTTTGGTCATCACAGAACTTGATGGATGTTTTAAATGAGATGTTGTTAAATGAGTGTCAATAGGGACTAAGAGTGCAGATAGGACATAATAGAAATGCATTTCTCTTTCCTTCACATCCAACTGTTAGTTCACTTCTACTTGAAAAAGTAAATTCACAATATTTTTTTAAGTTCTCTAAATGCTTGGTGCCACGTTGTCTGTAACCATTTGACTGCTTAGTATATGGAAGTTTTGCACTCCAACTTCTGAGAATGAATGTAAAAATTCATTTTTTGGAGTACAGCATTTTCAGACTTTCCCTGAAATCTTGTTGCTTACCACAATGGTGGGTACTTAAAACAGCTTCTTAACTTATTTGCAGGTATAATTTTTTTAAAAGGTTAAAAATTTGTTATGAGAAGAATTTGTGGGCAGTCAGTAGACTGGATGGTATCATGCCTCAGTAGTAACTGAATAGTGGAAAATAAGGTACCAGTCTAGACCTTGAAAAGGGACCACACCCACTGCTGCCTTACAACTAAGATACCAAACTTTGATGGAGAATTTAGTAAGAATCTATATTTATTTTCCAGCATCAGTAGTTACTACTTTCAGTACTACGTGATTGGGATGCAGAGCTGCAGTGAAACATTTTGCTCCAAAATACATAGGAGAAAGAGAACAGGAAAACAAAAATTCTGGAAACATCCCTTTGTTTGGATGCTACAGATATACATACTTGTTTCAGATGAGCATGCAAATACTACAGAACTCGTTCCTTCCTTGTGGAAACCTGGCCATGGATGTTCAGTTGAGTCAATTCTCATTGCTGCATTAACACCTGTAAGAATGGACTAGCTATATTTAGAATTTTCCATAATTATTGGTGGAACACTTAGGTGTAAACCTAACAACATCAACCAGTGCTAGCATCTGGTAGTTCTGTGGTGCTTATTCCCTGCTTGTCTGTCCAGGTCAGAACACAAAACATTTTAATTTCTTTTTTAGAAAATATTTGGAGAGAAACTTAGGAAATTTATAAATTACTGTTTCAAGTGTTCTTGGTGAGAATTAAAAAAGGGAATTCAAACATTTTTACACTCATGTGAGCAGATTCAGTCTTTGTCATTCAAAAAATCTAGCTATGCAAAAGGAGTGCAACAGTTTGTCACACATCTTTCCTTGGCATTCTTAACAGTTTTTAAATACTGGAATTATGTATAACTGGAATGTTTTAATGCCTGCTTGTACATTTCTTCATTCACATCCACAGTCTCACTGAATATCAGTAAAACACATGAATAAATGTTAAAATAATTGGGTTCTCTAGATGTGCATAAGCTCTTTAGTATCCAACATTATAACGCATTGTTTCAAATCTTGAAATAAATGCTAGGTGGAATATATAATTTTCAACTTCCTTATACTGAAGTAGTCTGCAAAAAAAAGTTAATTGTAGTAAAAGTATAGTCTGTATGTTGAAATACGTGCACAATTCTTTCATAAGTTTGAAAATTTTTTGTTATATATTATGTTCATTTTAAACATTGCTGGCTTTAGTCTTGCTGAATACATCAGTAATCTTAATCATGTTAAAATTTCTTTTTCTAAAGCAATTTTAACAAAGCAGTAGCTAAGGAACTTGAAGTAATCAGTTCATAATCTTCTGATTACGTTATTAGAAGCAAATAATTTTTCAAGTCAAAGCATAGTGTATGGTACCATTGATTTTTTTGCTCAAACTAAGTGTCCTGATAAGTAATAGAAAGTAATATATGATTCTTCTTCCTGAAGCTGGTTTACTGGTTTAGGGGGTTTAGCTGAATATATTAATTATCTGTTACTTGAACAAACCTGTCTTCATATGAATTGTGTAAATGCATGAGTGAACAGTTTAATGACATAAATACATCAGCAGCCACTTAGTGTACAGTGTGTACTTCTGCCTTTTCATAATTTAATTTTCTGTTAATTTCAGGATTGCCTTACGAGGTTTATTTCCTTGTAAGCACAATAGAGAGCCTGAAATATGAAATTGCAAATTGCAGCTCAGTTTGCATTATCCAGCTCTTCAGAAAATGCACCCTGCGCAACAGAATCGCTAGTATAGGCAGTATGGTAGAGACACTCATTCCTCCATTTTTTTTAACTACTTGATTGACATGTGTTCTGAACTATGTTAGTTCTTTTAATGGTGATAAAATTCCTAGTCTCTACTCAGTATGAAATTGTCCACTGGTAGAACTCAGTCATTTCTAATGTAGTTGATCACTGTAGAAGCGGTAATTGTAGAACAGTTCTGGATTGTCCTGAGCAGAATTGGGAAAAAAGGGGAGTTGTTGGCTGGAAGAAGGAGTATTGGAAGAAGGGTGAAGTAAAAGTCTTTGATGATTTAAAGGCTGTTCCAGAAGATCAACATTCACTGAGTGTGTGGTGAAAGGGTTATAGATTATTAATATAAACTGTATTTGCAACAAAAAAAAACAGCCTCCAACTTTGAAGAAACCTTTCTAATGGTAAAGAGAGGCAAATGCCAGAAGAGATTGTCCTGGGAAGAGCAATACCATTTGATGAGTGTTTATAGGAACAGGTTAACTGGTGGGAGCTCTTGTGACTGATTTCTGCCGTTGGCAAGGCTTCACGACCTTCTATTTTCTGTGCCCTAAATAGCTTTATTTTTTTCATCAGGCACCAAAAAAATGTGGAATTTGCTGTTTTCTCACTGGTACCAGTTCAGGCAGCAGTAGTTGTAGGTGCACATCTCTTGAAGAGCTTTGCTGCCTGTGGGCAAGTAAGGCCATCAGTGGCAGGTTGAGCTGCAGGCGTGCTGCAAACAGGGGCAGTTCTTCAAAGCTGTGCTCCTGGACCCTCGCACAGGTGTAGAATGAGCTCTCTGGCCGCCACAGCCTCCCCATCCCGGTGTGGGTTATGTGGAAATATGTCCTCCAGCCCTGGGACATATTTCCTCCGGTAGCTGCTTTAAGGAACCGAGGCAGATTAATTTTAATGGGAACCTACTGAAGCGCATCACCAGCTCTTGTCAGCTCCCCCTGTGCCAGGGGCTGCTGCCGCATCCCGGAGCACGTTTACGCGGAATGATGCGGAGTCTGCGCCTGCCGGCGCGGGAACGGTGCCAGGACTCGGAAGGTGGTGGAGAGGACGCGGACGCGATGCAGTGCCTCCTTCGCCCCCGCCGCCGCCTCCCCACTCCCCTGGCCGCGGGTGCCGTGTGCGTGAGGGGGGCAGAGGCGGCGGGCGCGCTCCGCTCCACATGGCGGCGGCCGTGCGGGACCGGCGGGAGAAGTGTCGGCGGGGCCGGGCGGGGCCTCCGCAGCAGCCGCTCCCGCAACCGGACAGGCCCGCCGCCGTCCCGGGCCCCGCGCTCGGCGGCCGCCGCTGCCTGGTCCCGCCTCAGCCCTTCCACGTCCGCACCATCTTCGAGGCGCCGCCGGAGCGCCCGCAGCGCTTCGGGCCGGCGGCGGCGGGAGCGTGGTGCGACCTGTGCTGCCGCTTCGTCCTGTCGCAGGGCCTCCGCCTCGCGGGTGAGCGGCTTCGGCGGGGAGCAGGGCTGGGAGCGGCGGGGCCAGGAGGTCGGGAGATCCGCATAAAACCGAGAGGCGCGGGCCAGGTCAGGCATTTCCCGAGCCAGGAAGCGCGCTCCTTGCCCAGCCCCGACGGGCCGGGGTTTCGCCATGTGCAGCGATGGAGCACGATGGCTGCCTAGCGGGAGCTGAATTGCCGGGACTACGGCCCTGCACGGGGCTGAATGCAGTGTGATCCAGGTAAAGGTGCTCCGTCTCCACCCGGCAGGAAGGTAATGCGTGTCACAGGATATGGGGAGTGCTGCCCTGGGGGGTTCGTGTGTACTCCCAGCTCTGCGCTCTGCTCCCTGGCGGTCAGGGTGAAGCCCAAGGCTCTGTTAGTGTGTCGTATGTCCCATGTACACATGTCCTTTCACTCTCTGGGCTCTGGTTCTTAGTAGGCAAAGGTGTGTTTTCCTTTTGCTGCATAGAAAGCAACTTTCCTCCTTTGCACCCCTTTCTTTACCACTGCCACACTCTAAAATACAGTGATTTCATTCACCTTTCCAGCTCCTGTCCTTTACAGCAGGACAACATACATAATCTAGTGCTGGTGAAAAGTCCTCTATTGCCATCCCTTGATGGATTGAAAAGGCTTTGGCCACGTTTGGGCTTCATGGTAACCTCGAGGGGGATTTCAGCATAGAACTACATGGGCGCATTCACAGCTGCTCCTCGGCCACGGCTGCAGTGCTGCTGCACTCTCTAGGACAATCCAATGCTATCCGTAGTGGTGTGACCTGTTCAGGTGTGTGGTTTGCATTTGATTTATATCACTGAGCTTTTGTTTAATAGCTAGTATTTAAAACCCGAATTGGGAAAGACAGGTCAATCTTTTCCTTATTTTTTTCTGTCTTAAGATGTAATAACCTCATACTGTCCCCTGCTGATAAATATAATTAATGTTATGATACACTGTTCTCACAGTTACACTGACTTTCAGTAGCTCTATTTTTACAGTTATTCTTGGAATGGAAATACTTTGGCTGTAAAATAAAATACTTTTTATTTATTGTTTGCATTAGTGCACTCTTTGTTCTGATAGGATGTGTAGTGCACTGATGTGAAAATAGACTTTATAAATAATTTTTTTTTTTTATGATCAAATGCTCCATGACAAGAACTTCAAGTGTCACATTGAATTATGTATCTTCCAGCAACATTTTCTCAGAATGATTACAGCTTACAATGTTTTCCTTCTCCTCCATGACAAGCTCCATTTTTATGAGGCATAATACTTCAAGCTGCTCTCTTAAATTGCTGTTTAAGTAGCAGAGGAAACATTCAACTTTTATGATCTAGCATGAATATAATACTGTCTTAGGTTGCAATACAGGATGTGCCCAAAAGTATGTATTCTATCACCATCTGTTGAAATCAGCTGGGGCAGTGATCCTTACCTCTGTGGGAGATATTCTCTGCTAATGGGCCATCTGATACATCCAGGTGGACAGTCATCTCTATCTTTCCCACAACCCATCCTTCCTCCAGGAAGATATCATCTGTTAATGGGCCATTGAGTCCCACTGTATGACTGATAAAATTACATCATCCCATTGGGTCCCACTGAATGACTGATAAAATTACATCGTCCCATTGGGAGATGCTCCAGCCAAGG